GATCTACGCTGTATGGGCTCCTTCTTAAAAGCACTGGGACAGGATTCAAGCGTCTACATTTTCTGATTCAAATTTATAGTCAGGCACAGAAAATTCCCATGGACTAGGGAAAAAAGAAGAATGCTTAAGCTGACAATTTTCTGAAAGATGAAAAAAAATCACTGCTGTCTTCTGCTGACACACTGTGCAGCGAGCTGGGACAGAGGTCCACACTATTCCCTGACAACCAGGCAGCTCAGGGAGCTGCCAACTGGTGTTTGCTTAAGTTCCAAAAGGTACTTTTCTGGTCAAAAACCAGAATAAATATAATAAATGCCACATGGAAAAGCTAAAATTCGCAAAAGGTTTGGTTAAATAAATAGCCGCAAATGAGAGGAAAAGGGATTAAAACACTGTTTTTGAAGTCTGATGTATTTTTTTTTCTAGCAATTTTGCTGCTTGTCATTTCACTCTCCAGCTCAGAGCCAAAGCCAGAACAACCAGCACACCATAACACAATTCCCAGTGCCCCTCTCCCCAGCAGAAGGGAATACTAGAAAACCAAGACAAAATTCCTTAACATGACACTAGAAACCAAGTTTAGCACACTAATTTGGATGGGACAGTTGATGAATAATAACAGAAATTTAATTTTCCTGTTTTTCTTAAGCAGAATGACAGGGAATGAGGGAAGGGTGATTTCTCTCCCTGAGAAACTACCATTTTCAGGTCAGTGTCACCACGATCAGTTCAGAAAGCACAGGTGAATCCTGAAAGCAGGAAAGCTGGTCCCCAGCTAGAGGAAAGCCACGGAGTAGCTGAGACTGGAGAGCCTCTCCCCGTAGCCATTCAGAGAAGGAATGTTTCATCCAACCCTCTCTCCTGTCCTTCAACATCCAGACTCAGGAAGGGAAAGGAGAGCTAGAAACTTGCAGGTTCAGATGATGTATTTGATGTTGCCACCATCACAATGTCTTGGTCCCTCACAGACCCCAAACTCCTCCTAACCTGCCTTCCAGCCAGCAGAATTACTCAGGAAGCTCAACAGCAGACAGAATTTTTCATTTTAAATGAGACTATACAAACCCTCTGGATCTCCTGTAAGAGTCCAATGGATGGGTTTCCTGCCCTGCTCTTGAGGCTCAAGGCTGGTACTGACCCCAGTGAAGTCTGGATCAGATCCCACTGCAAGAGCTTCAAAGCAGTTATTTCACCAGTGGGACCAGACTGAACACCAGTTCTCCTCTCCAGACACTCAGTGAGTGGGTAAGATTTTACAAGAGCACAGTCCACCAGGTAAAACATTCTCTGGAAAAGCCTGGCCTTGAACAAAGCTGAATACAGCCAGCTGAAGACTTGTAAACTTACTCCAGAGTCATTCTGCAAGCTTCACATGAGATGTATGGAACAATCATCTCTCAAACCCAGAGGGAGCTTGGCATGGGAAGAAAGAGATGGCCACAAATCTGAGCTTCAAGACACTTAATTACATTTCTATCTGCTCTCAGTGTTCTTGGCAGTTCCCATCAAATATATCTGGAGAAAGTGTTTTCATGTGAGGAGACATTTGAGAATTGTCTGGCAGAACACAGCCCCAAGGCCACGAAGGGTGATGGTGCAAGGACTCCGACTGCCCCGGTGCTGTCCCAAACCCAGCAGCACCGTGCTCGCAGCACAGCTCCATCAGTGAAACTCACCAGCAGCAACTCAGGTTAGAAATGCTCCTGCTCACATTGCCCAGAAGCAAAAGCAGCCTGTGAAAGGGACATTTATTTAAATGGTCCCAATGAAAACACTTATGGAGGTTTTTCAAAGACCAACACTCCTGAAGTCGTCACCAAACTGCGAAGGTGTCAGCGCTACAAGACCAACTTAATCATTCTGAGGCTATGTGCAATTTTGTAGAAGCAACATCATGAAAAGAATATTAAATACTGGCAATACACAACTTTTCTTTTTTTCCTTCAGATTCTGTGCAAAGATTTATATTTGCCACTCCATATTTTCAGGATGTCAGCAGGAAAAACAAACCATTAAATGTCATATTAGGTCTTCTCAGGATGCTTGTAAAATCACCCACATTTAACATCTTTGGTCAGAGTTCTGATACACTTATTCAGAAACAGCTCAGAAGACTTAACACTGTCACCTATAACTCTTCCAGCTATTATATGAAGCACAAGTAAGTTCAATTCCTATACATGAAAGCACTACGGGGGGAAAAAATATTTTAAGCACTAAACATTGCTTAAAGGGGCTTTTCAGCTGCACATTTACCTGTCTCTGGGTAATCAGACTCTTGCCTGCACAGAGCAACATCGAAAACACAGTAGTGCTGTAAGGGTGAGGACACCTAGCCCAACACCTCAGCACCAGCCCAAGGCATGTCTGTGGAGAGCACAGCCACGCCTGGAAGAAAAGGTCTGGGACACCACCGCTGACTGTGCTGTCCTGCTGGGTGACACCAGGGACACACAAAATCTGAAACAGGCATTTAAAATTCTGAACTACACTGATTGTTTAGCTTGCCTTTCTTCAAGGAAATCACTGCTTAAATTTTTTGTCTTGGTCATCAAACAGGCTGGCACTTTCATAAACAGAAACTAGTAGTACACTATAAACGAACCCTGAAGATCATTTCCCAGGGGGCTTTCCACAAGGCTCTCACTGATTTCGATTTTCTTTTGGTCATAGAACACTTCCCAAAATTAACATTTTTCCAGAGACATTCATTTTCTACAAAGAATAAATAATGTAGGAAAAAAGGAATTGCCTGAGCTAAGTGATGCCAGATGAGCCTCCTGGAATCACAGAGCTTTGTTTTAAAGATTCCTGACTGCTGTAAAGTCATAGCAGCAAACGAGTGCAAAAACACTGATGCCTTTAAAGATATCCCGAAGCCATATAGTGCCAAAACACCGGGCTGTAAGACTTCAGACATTTGCAGCCACATGACTCAGGCTTAAATTTCAAATACTTACCATTTTTTCCTTCTGACACAATATTTAATGAAACCAGAGTTCAGTAGTAGTATCAGTCCTGCTATACATGTCTTGCAGCAGTTTCTGCCTAGACAGCTGTTTGTGTGCTTACAGCTAGCTTGTGTTTCATTTAGAAAGGCTTTCCATATGCTTTAAAAATTGGAAAACTATTGTTTTAACTGACTGTATGCTGTTATTTTTAACACAAGTGAACATTGAAAAGGATCAGAAGCTCATTTTGAAAGCACCAATAGCACCTAAAATCACATTACAGCTGAACACATGCAAATATGTCACCAAGTGGCTGTGATCACCTAGAAGCCATCACACATGTGTAAGTCTACCCAGAGCTCACTTCTCTTTAGTGAAAAATCTCTTCAGTGCTCCTAATACAGGAAAGGCAATTGATGTGTATACTAGTAGTAGTAGATGCATGTAATATACATGAAATTAGCAACAGTCTACAATCACAAAATTTAAAAGAAGATTGAAGATGCAATGCTACAGATATATTAACAAATTCCTGTTTAAAAAAAAAAAAAACCAATATGTTTGAGGCCTTGGAAAACAGTGCTCACAGCCCAGCCCAAAGGTGAACAGCAACACCCCAATACTGCTGCTTTCACATTTTCACTTCCATTAATAGCTACACTGTTGTTTTACTGCTGTATCATAGTGATGTGGAAGCACATTACAGCAGCCACTCAAACACTGTGGTAAAGCAACCTTACACAATCTTATTTCTCATGGACTTCAGAGGACCTGCACAAGTTACATGATGGCAGAATTAAGCCCTGGGGTTCAGGAAACCCAACTTGCCCCAGTAAAGGACTTGAAGCTCCCTGCCCTTCATCACCTGCTTCACTTCATCTCATCCTGCCCACCCGCAGCTCTCCTGTACAGTATTTCACAACACATTAGGAGAGATGTGGAACTTTATGAAAGAAATCAATTCTAACAATATGCTACAGCCATCCATTATTAAATCCTTGCCCAAAAATGGCCCCAAACTGTGGGTTTCAATCAGAATACTGAACTTCCAGATGAGCATACAGAGAATCACTGAAGTCCTACTGTGAACACTTGGCTAGCTGCACGCCTGTATGAAGCCAAGCAGTGTCCAGCCCAAAGCTCCATGACACAGCACCCCTGTCTGTTCCCCTCCTCACTCATCTGAGCTCACCCCCTTTACCATCCACAGAAGCAGAGTGAGATCTTCTCCGGAAAGAGGGCTCATGAGCAGGGCTCAGTTCAGGGACACCCAGCAGCACAGCACGAGGCTGGGCAGCACCAGCACTGCTGCACCGCTGCCCGGGGGAAAAGCTCTTTGAACGTGGTGAGCCCTGTTACCCACACGCGTCAAGAGAAGCAGGGAAACTTGTAAGCAGGGCTTATAAACAGCACAGCCTCGGAAACTATGCACCCACTGGGATTTATTATCTAGAAACAATGTCTGGCATCAAGCTTCCAGGAAAAATTAGGTTACAAAGCAAATATCAGCCACCTCTCAGGCTGTGAGAACACCTTGCTTCTTTTCAAACACCACTTCAGAGTCCTCACGGGAGCATCACTGAGACCATAGCTCCAAAATCCCAGCTGTGCTGGCAAGGGCTGCTGAACCAGGCAAAGAGGGTACATTTGGAAATAGTTTTAAAGAAAGATTTCACAATATTTTTGGCATCATTTCAGCAAGTCCCACTGCCACAAACATCAAACCACAAATCAGTGCCCACTGCTTATAACCATTTATAAGGTCTACTGCAAACACAGCAAGGCAAATCAGATCAGGCAGGTACAGTGAGCTTGGGACTGGAGTCTCCGCATTCCCAGCAGGGGGAATGACCTTTAAATACTTGAAGCAACCTTGGCAGCTGCTCCAGAGAAGACTGGGAGGTACACATATCTTCCATATGCTCACCTGCACTTTACTGAACACAAGCCAGGAATGCCACCACAGAAATTAGAAGCTAAAAAGTCTCCCAAACAAATACAGTCCCAGATAATCTCTCTTAAGTGTGAATAATGCTAATCCTGTATTACCTGCAAAATCATGATCTTCTTACCACATCAGAGACTCGCTGATCCCTGTGGTACACTCCTGCAACATCCCAGATGTATGATTTCACAAGTAACTGCCTGTCCCACTAACTTGGGAGAAAACAGACGAAACTTCAATGTTGCTATAGGTGAATGAATCATAAAAAGTGAAAGGAAAGAAAAAGCAAAAGAAAAAGCAGGCTTTGCTGTATTATAATTTCAAAAAGAAACCTCAATATCTACATTTTCTAGGTTATTCTTCTAATCCATTTAATTCAATTCTACATATCTTCCAGAAACAGAGAGCCTTCTTCATTAAATGGCAGCATGACAGGAAAACTTCCATCAGAGGGACGTAGAGAACAGGCTGACAAAAACAAAATAAAACAAAAAACAAACCCAAATCAAAAAACAAGAAATCACAGCTTATTCCAGCAAAGCCAGAAACCAAGGCTCTGGGAAGGGGGGCACATTTCAGCAACAGATGAAGATTTCAGCAGCAAATGGCCACAACAGCAGTGGGGACAAGTCCAGTTCATGCTCCAGCTCACTGTGTTCTGTAACCCAGCTGCTGATGACACTTCATTCCTATTGCGTATGCGTGAGCTTTGCTGCTGACCTCACTGCTGGAATTGTACCACCCAATCAATGCCAAAAACTTCAGCACAAACTATGAAACTTGACAGGACTGAGCACATTTGGAACAGAAGATTTTGCGTGAACAGCAGCAGACCAGGAATGTGCAGTCTTGTCATCCTTTGAGTGGGACGGGGAAAGGAGGCCCAAGAGCAATTGAGGACCATGGCACAGTTTGTCAGAACACGACAGGAGCCTTCACACTGCGATGGCCACTGCCATTTCAGTTAAACACACCCAGCTTGCCTTAGCTCTGAGGGCAGCACTGACCCATACCAACAGGCATCCACTTCCAAAGGCAGTTCATACTTTCCCTCACTGAACCAGGCCAAAAGAAATATTCTGAGAGATGAAAATATTTTCTTTGCCGTTTTACTTAGTACAGAGCTACACCATGGACTAACAACAGACCTGCACTTCCACACAGCTGGGTATCGACACAAGATACATCTGTCTCAAAACTAAGTCACATACCATGCACACATTAGAACATCAAGAAAGCTGGGCCAGCTCCACACTTCCTGCACCCATACATCAGCCTGATGTAAAAGACAGGGCTGTATCTGCCATTATGCATCCCCTAAATATCCTACAGTAGTGACTTGCCATAACTGTAATCCCAGAATACATTAAGAGAGACCATAAGACGTCATCTACCCTACTCAGTGACCACAAACCACCCTGCTACAACCAAAATCGCACACCCAGAGCCTCACAACACTTGCTTGTCAGCCAGCCAGAGCTTGTGATGCCAAGGACAAGCAGAGGGCCCCCCTTCAACACCCCCATAGCACCAACATTTGTTTCACAGCAGTTACGTGCCGGGAGAGAGGGAGTCTGGGAGAGGAGAGCAACATGGGACACCTGAAACTAAATTAAGATGTTGAGGGGGAGGAAGAAGGGAAAAAAGATGCATTTATAGCATGCACAAACTCTCCTCGGGGGCCAGGCAGCACTGCCAGCAGTTCTGGCCAGGCTGATGATTCACAACACGTCAAGGGGAGATCAGACTACTTGAAAGAACCAGGCTTCAAGGGTTTTCTGGAGAAAAACAAAAAAATTCAGAGGGGTTTGGGTTATTAGATAGTTTATAGCTCATATACAGATATGGATTAGGATTAAGCTTTCAGTTACAGGATCTCATCCTAGTTACACCAGCATCCTTCCCCTCACTGCATTCATTTTGCCCACAATTCGCTACGTTGTTATTTAGCCCCTTGTGTGAACACAGAATTATTATGGGCTTCCTGCGACTTTTCCAAGGCTTTCTCCCCATTTCAGAAGCACAAGTCCAAAGCATCCTTTAATTCTGCAATTTTGAGTCCCTGATTTCTTTATTTTTTAGAGCATCTACAGTTATTCATGTACTTCCTCAGAAACTCCTGTTGGCAAAAAGCGCATTTACAGGCACTCAGCATTTTGATCAGCTCAGGATGCCTGGAGACTCCAGCCAGAGGCAACCAAAGCAGATTTGGTTTGCACAAAGTTAGTGGCCACTGCTGAGAACTTTGGTGCTTGTGGCTCCCTTTCAAGAACAGGGAGGACTACAGGCTCCCCGCGCTACAGGCTTGGGTTCTGCTGCAACAGGTAAGTGAGAAGCCCAGTGATCAAACATCACCCCTCCTTACAGCCCTGCTTCCCCACAGCACAGAGCCATTCCCACCCACTAAGGCCAGACCCCCAACAGTGCACAGGATACAGCTAAACAAGGCTAAAGAAGTTTACATTCACAAGCTTCTTCTGCAAAACACAAGCATTTGGTTCTCTTTAGCCTTGCATGCTCTTGTAGGCAGTATCAGATATTTGTCATAATAGCACCTTGTTATTTTAACACCTCCCTAATTCCACAAAGGGGACACAAAGCCATTCTGTACAATCCAGACTACCACAACACTACTAACCTAGGCTTTCCCTTTCTCCTTCTCTTCCCTCACCTTCTCCTTTGTCACCAGCCACTGGGTGCAGCCTCACCTGAGGTCTGTCCCCTGCATCAGCATCTCCCCAGGGAACACCCCTGCCTCAGACCATTAACTCCTTCACTCAGGGCATCCTGCCACTTGTGTCTAGCAGAGAGGTTTCTGACTAACACAGGGGAAAAGCTAATTAATAATACGCTCACATAGTTTTACCCTGGAATCCATCAACTACGTATGTGGTACCTCATTTCTATCCGCTAAAAATCAAGCTTTTCATTGTAGAGAAAAGTACAGCTTTTTCAGACCAGGAATTATTCCCATTACTGGCTGGTGAAGATTAAAGCTCACGGATCTCTCAGCTTGGCTCTACTATCAACTCCAATCAAACTGCTGAGTTTTCTGCTTGATGATATCAAAGTAAATGCTCATTTTGAATTGCAAAAGTAGTAATAACCTTTTCTTGTCATCTGCTGTGCCCACTGATTCTTATCTTAGATATCCAATTCTCTCTCACTCGACACTTGCCCTGGAAAACTACACGAAACCGACGCAGTGGAACTACAAAGTGAGTTTTATTTCATGTCACTTTCTGCCCGTCTCAGATTTCCCCGGACTATGCAACACGCACACGAGCCACACGAACAACGGCAGAGCCGGCACCGCACACCCGACCGCCGCCGGAGGTGCGGCAAGGGGGCACCCCGGTGATCCTGACACATCCCGACCTCGGGCCGTGGGGGTGCCAAGGGACTCCCACGGGACTCCGCATCCCCCGCGCGCCGCTCCGAGAGACCCTCCCGCTGCCGCGGGTCAGGCAGGGCCGGCCCGGGGGTGTCCCTCACCCGAGGCGGCGGCGGACAAGCCCCTGAGCGGCGCGTCCCCCGCCGAGCCCCGCGGCCAGCACCCAACTCCGCCGGGAGCGCCGGAGCCACCGAGCGGCGACAGCCGGGATGCCGCCGGGGCAGCGGCCCCCGCGCTGCGTGCGCGCGTGTCCCGTGTCCCCGCACACCCACCCTCCGCGCCGGCGGGGGAACAAGTTGCCACGAACTGCCGGTACGGGGGTGATGCTCCGCCGGTCCCGCCGCCACCCCGGAGCCGCGCGGCCCCGCCGCCCCCCGAGGCTCGGACCCCGGCGGCCCCCCCTAGCTCCGCCCCGTCCCGCCCACGCGTGGGGGCCACGCGCGGACCCGCCCGGCAGCGCCGGTCCCGGGGCACGGCACCCCCGGGCTCGGCAACCGTCCTCCGGGCACGGCATTCCTCCCCCGGGCATGGCATCCATCCCACCTGGGCACGGCATCCATTCCCCGGGTATGGCATCCATCCCACCTGGGCACGACCTCCATTCCCTGGGCACGGTATCCCCGGGCACACCATCGATCCCGCCTGGGCACGGCATCCATCCCCCCGGGCACGGCAAACATCCCCGCTGGACGCCTGTGGTGACCGGGACAGGCCTCCCCCCCGGTGCTGCCGCAGCCCGTTGTGTCCCGGCTCCGCGCGGCCCCGCGGGCAGCGGTGCCGGTCTCCCCGCTGCCGCTCGCTGTGCGCTGCCTGGGAGGGTGCTCCCCGCTCAAAGGAGCCTTCCCCATGGGATGCTGCCTCACCACAGCTGAAACTTTTCCTCCGGTTCTGCAGGTGGCTCAAGCTGCTGCCAAGCACGTAGGACGTGTCAGGGCGCTGTAAAGCCGCTGCTGCTGGCAGTGCGGGGTCATGGAGCACAGGGAGCCACCAGCTGGGGGCAGGATCCCCCTGCCCGGTCAGTGCCGGGGTGGTCCCCCGAGGGACCAGCACCAAAGCCACATTTAGCTGTTTCATGGTGTCGGGCATCCCAGCTGTGCCCCGGCACCCACAAGGACAGACATACACATTCTAGAGGTCTGCAAGGCACTGCTCTTCCCTGTGGAAGCCAGAGGTGCTACAGAAAACCAAAGTCTCTGCAGGTTCCAAAGCTGCACCAAAGAACATTTTTTCCAGACACAAAAGCTGCCCCTGACCCTCCCTGCTCACCTGAGGCTACCTGGGTAATGCCTCATGCTTAGATGCAGGAGGATTTGTTGAAAACCCAGAGGAGCCCATGTCATACTCATCCCGAGCATTGACCACCACATCCCACAGGCTGCAAGCCAGGCTCCAACACATTGTGGGTGTGTGACCCCTGGGACACAGGGCATCCTTTCTGTGTCAGTGTTTTAAACAGCAAGGAAAAGCAATACTGAAGGGAATCTTCTCCAAAAAAAGGGCGTCAGGCTCACCTGTGGACAAACTATGACCTTTGGCAGGGCAGCTCTGCCACAGGGTCCACATCGAGGACCAACACCTTCACACCCATTGCAGGATCTAGGTGGGGCTGGATGTGATCAGAGCAAGACTCTATGAACATGAGCTTTTAGAAACTTCGTTTCTGGAAAGATTCCACCAGTACGTCCCTGGGCAGTGAGGCCTGATTAAAGCAATCCACGTATTGCAGCTCCATTTAGTGATGCATCACCCCCTTCCTTCCCCTCCAGGAAGGGAAGCACTAATTTTGCACCAGCTTTTGGCCAAGATGCCCACTAGAGCTCTTTCCAAACACCGTGTCCCTGTCACACCATTGTTAGTTTCAACTGGTGCCTACACTCCTGCACAAGGGCCTTTTCTAAAAGCCTCACTCTTCCTCAAGTGAGCTCTGGAGCAGTTTCATCGACCCTTCCCATATGGATAAATCCACCCACCACCATTTCCTGAACCAGCTAGGAGCTGGCACAACCCAGGCTGTCAGCAGCAGCACACACAAAGGAAGTTCAGGATCTACAATTAGCAGGAGACCAACCCTGGGGCTGGAGGCTGCTTCTTTCTTGGTTTATATGACTTTTATACAAACTAAAACAATTGGGGAGGGAAATCTGCATTTGCTATGAAATGGGTGGCACGTTATGAGAACAAATGAATTACTTAATTTCAAAAAAGGATATGAAAACAAGAGAAAATGAATGCTGTA